CATTCGACATCTGCTGCAATTGCGGTTTTCTCTTGACGGAATCTTGTAAGTACACCAACAATGCTGTTTGTGAGATCTGGACCGCTTAGGAGTTGGTCGTTCAATGAAGTGTTTCGGTACTTCGCCGAGCAATCAAATACCACTCTAGTCTTGTTTGGCTTGTTCGGGTTGAAAACCGGATGATGTGGAAGATACAATACTGGTTTTCCCTTTACTTCAACTTCGTTCTCTGGAACTCTTCTGGCGTGTCCTTTATCAATGTAGTCATTCATCGTCCCTTTGTACTTCAAGAACAGTTCGTTGTCCGCCAGAAATCTTTTCTTTAGCAGCTTCAGTCGTTGCTCAGCTAGACTTCGATTATCAGGCAAGTATGGAATTTCCTGTCTCCACGGCAGTGCGACCTCGTAATGTCCATCCTTTAACTTGACGGAACTTTCCATTGTCTTGATTGCGTGTTTGTCTTGGCGAGACATGACTCTATCAGAAGTGCTAACCACGTGGTCCATTTCCCAGAATCTTTGAACCTGGTTCAGCAGATCATCCTTTGATTCTCTCCTTTCATCATCTTGAAGTTTAACGAAGCTTGACGTAAGAGACTCGTCCTTTGTTGATGACTTGGTTGGTCCTAATATAGTCCAGCCTAAGGGTGASCGAATAGCGTAAGGCTCTCCAACTTTTCCTCTTCTCTCTTCGAGCACCCAGAATGCTTCAGGAACGTTACTACCAATGATCATCTTCACTTCTTTGTTCTGAAAGTCCGATAAGCTCACATCATGCAGGTGGGGCCATCGTTGAACCTCTGTGTTCGTAGGGATACTGTGGGTTAAGACATTAACACTGTCCACGGTCCATAGTGTGTTGATCGTCATCGTGTTTTTACCGTCCAGGGATTCGATGTTTAAACTTGATATGCACTGTCAGATCTTGGCACTGTTCTGTTTTTCTTGCGTAGACAGGTAAAACAACTTCTCTTCACCTTGAACTCCGATTTCTGATGCAAGTTGTTCATTGCAGAGTGAAACGTTAGATCCATTGTCGAGCAATGCGTATGTAGTCACGGACTTGTGAGGACCTTGGACTTTGACGGGTACGATTCTTAAACATATCTTCTCGTCGATCGGGTCCAACATCTTCATGCTGTTTACTTGGCATGTGGAAGAGGTATTCTTGGTCTCTAACGCCTTTGGTTGACCGYGTGCACTGTCTCTYRCTGGAGGATGCAACAAGGTGTGATGACGTCTTTTACATCCTTCTACTTCACACGACATGCCTTCAAGACATCCTAGGGCTATATGTCCAGGTTTGAAGCAGTTATTACATAAGTTCAGCGAACGCATTTTGTCCTTTCGATCCATGTAGGTCATCTTTGCAAACTTTGGACAGGACTTCAACAGGTGTGGTTCTTTGCACAATGGGCAGTACAGAGACCTTTCATGTGTCTTAGAGGTTGTAAAGACGTGACCAGCGTTGAGAATGGTTCTAGGCTTGGGTGTAGGTCTCTCACTGGGCTTGGATGAAAATCTTTCGTTTGGCCTGAGAGTTGATCTTTSGCGGGGCTTGGGAACAGGTCTGTCATCCCTGTAAGTTCGAATTTCGCTGTGTGGAATCAGCAGAGTACCGAAGATAGGATCGTTGGCAGCTCTCGCCTTCTTGTTGACAAACTCTGATATATGCTGAATGGTTGCTCTTTCTCCGCGTTGCTGTAGATCATCAGCTAAGTCAACAAATCTTTGACGTAGATTGTAGGGAAGTCTTGCGACGATTCTTCTCAGGTTGTCGGCGCTGTTTATCTCTTGTAGATAATCGACTGATTCGAGGATGTGTTGACAGTTCTTTAATTCATGGGCCAGACTGGTCCGCTGCTTTGAGTGGGGGTCCCTCGGTTAACTGGCTGACGCACTTTGAAGCGATGGTGAATGGGTGACCGAATCTTTCCTTTAGGAGATGACGTGCTGTCCTGTAACCCTTTGACGGCTCCATCATGGCACAGCTTTTAATGGTACGTTTGGCATCTCCAGAGGTGTACTCCAGCAGATACATCACTCGCTCACTATCTGTTAGGGTGTTCTTTTCGATATAGTTCTCGAAACATTTCATAAAGCTAGGGAGATGGATCATATGAGCTAAATTCATCATCATGTTGGTAGTTTCCGTCACTTTGGTATCCGGAAGTACACATTTCTTGACACAGGGATTAGTTTGGGTTTCAACATTGTCATTACAAACATATTCAAATTGATCAATATTTCGATTGCCATTTACAGTATGAGTTAAATCATCAAGTACATCATCATTACATGATTGTTCAGATTGTTCATCTAATCTGTATTCTTCTTTGACCGCATCATTGAGTTGCAATCCGTTTGCTTGAGGAGCGTTTGATCTTCATAATCATTTAATTCTAACTCACCATTCATTCAACACTGATTGAAATTTTTGTGTTGATAATTAGCTGTTCATACAACGCCAAACAAACAGGTTCGTTATAGCTGGACTCGAGTATAAAAAGGCCCCAGATCAGTTGTAGAACATAAGCTTTCCAGCAATGGTTAGTATTTGTCGCCCCATAGATTTTGATGATGAAGGAGCAAGTGGAAAGTCGCAAGGTCCCGAGTAAGGTTTGTATGGACACAAGTAAATTTACTGCGGGGGTTTAAATTATCAAACTAATCTTTTTTTAACTTATAGGTTCTAAAAAACGTTGTCATATAGTTAAGGAAGAAGAAGAATTAGTCTTGAGTGCCTATCACAAGTTTGGAAACTGGGACGCTACCCTAACGCATGTCAAACGTCACATAGCCGACATTCACGTAAGCAACCTCGCTAGAAAGGAAAATGTCGTCGAATACTATTTCACTTCCACAGATAAAGTAGCAATAAAGAGAATGCAGCGTATCGTAAACCAGAGGATGAAAAAAACGACTCCTGTCGAAAACGCCACAAGTTCCTACATGGTAAGCGCTATTAAAAACTCAAAGATGCGGTACGCAATGAAAATGACACCAGAGGAAAGAGCACAGAAGAAATTTGAGTTTGTCAACGATTCTAGCCAAGATGATGAGGATATTGGAGATTATTCGGAAAATATGGACAGCATGGTGTGCGACGAGGATTCTGAAAATCCAGGTGATGATGTTGCATGTAGCTCCAAAAAAGGTAAAAAGAAAAAAATCATGCCAAAAAAAGCAAATGAAGCCCACACTTACATGTGTCAAAAAACCATGAATATGATAGACAAAATTAACAGAATGTTGGATAAATTCGACAATGATAGTGATTAGTATAGCCTTTGAGTTATTGTAATTGCATCTTGTTTTAGATATAAAGACAAAACCGCGAAAGAACATAGCTTTGGTCTTGTATACAAAGTTATCTGCCCCGATGAAAACTGTGATGAAATGTACATTCGTGAAACTTCTAGACATCTGTCAGAAAGGGTGATGGATCATAGTGGTCGGGACAAAAAATCGTCTGTGTTTAAGCACTCTCAGCAAAGTGGTCAAAAAAATGTAAACATTGACGACTTTCAAATTATTCAAAGCAATCTGACCAACTACGAACGTAGAACAATAGCTGAAGCGTTATGCATCAAACAATACAATCCTAGTTTAAATGAACAAAATGACACCATATCTTTGTCTTTACTTACTAATTTACATGTAAAATTCAGATTCCTTTAGTTACGTATACTGATGATGGCTACGGCTAGTAGCAGAAATATTTAAAGAGTAAATATGATCAAAATACTTCTCTTATATCCCTTCATAATCCAAATCTTTGCCCACAAGTTTACTTATTAATAGTGCAATAGTACTGTTTACACTAAAAGGTATGTTCCATGGATAGACGATAGATCAAAAGATAGATTATTGAAAAATGCATATGGCAGCTGCCGGCTGAATTACATACTGTGATGATGGGTTAATAAAAACCACTTTGTATGTGAACAAATTGTACTAATAATTATATACTAATAATTAAGAGGATGATGAAAAGTAATTTATTATTCATCATGGAATAGATAAATAAAATWTATTTATTGATTCAATCAATAATATAATTTAAACATACAGTAGAAAACCGCAAAAATTTAT